GGAAGCAAAGAGAAATGGCCGAAAAGGCGCCGTCGAACATTTCGGGATGAGCCATGCATTTCATTAGGCCCAGATTTTGGATGCCATTGTTCCATATTAGGTCAATACAAAAACGCACTGAATACTAGTCAGTGTACGAGCCAGTACTTTTTCCTCGTGAGCGAGCCTTTTCACTGAAAAGTTGAGTCGGAAAAAATGGAAAAAGAGAAGGGACCACTTAGAACGGGTTGGGCAACGAAATAGTGGAGTGTGCGTATGTGATACATCGCTTCTGCTCTGTGCAACAAATTTACTTATGTTAGATTCAGTTCAACATCAACAAAATATTCTACCTGGTACTGTAACATGGCCATGTACTGCCGTCGTTACGATCCAGATTGCATATGCAGGCACTTTCAAGATCGGGAGGCACAGAATCATTACCCAGACATTCGTGGTCTGGTCCTTTTACACAATTACAAGCCGAGTAAACTGGTTCATATTGAACGGAACGATATTTACCTGTAAATTCAGCTGTGAATATCGGTATAGCAACAAAACAATGTAAAAAGCTCATGGAATTCTCGACCTAAGCGCTTGAATAGATCAAGTAGGCAATCGGTACTTCTAATGAATCAAAAAAAANAAAAAAAAGAAAATGCAGTCAACGAAGTAAAGCAGAATTTTGCATATGAAAGCGGGAGACAGGCTATACTAACAAGCAGGCGTGCGCTCGCGACGCGATGCGATGTGCCGCGTCAAACCTGGAGGGCAGCCCCACGTCGTAAACTAATCAATGAAGCGTGAACAACAGTGCAATTAAGCCAAAGATGTGAAGCTCTTACCCTGTTTGATATCTCTTCTCCTCCTTTTTTGTATTTCATTATTTGCATTATTGCTGTATGTAACAGCTTGATGAAATGCTTCAAGCTGAAAGAAATACCAAAATTAGTGAGAGAAATGTTTGTAAAAATGAAGTAATATTACCGTTTCACTAATCTCAGGCACGCTTCTAGCCAGATGATTTTTGAATGGATTCATATTACAAATGGTTATGGCAGGAAATGGTGCTGATTCGAATTCTAACTGAAATCCTCACATTGAGCAGAACAGGTGATGGTCGAATCGAAGTCTTCAAAAGTATTTTCATAGAACCGATAAAAATGAAAAAAAATGTTCCTGGGATGGGCCCCGCGATCGACTTTCATTCAGAATAGTAATGGCATATGAACGCGTATGCGGCCTGTACAAAGAATTGCGGTAGCCAGTCGTCTGCGTCAGCGCTATTATATACACAGACAAGACAGGTACCAATCAAGCGACACGGAAGGGATAGAGGGGTGGGTTGTCCTGGGCGAGTATCGATCCGGGATTCGATCTCCGGACCATGCGCGATATTGAGTCACTTGTCTC